ATTTTGATGAGAAAGCTCCTTCCTCGTTAGCAAAATCAGCCTGAAACACAGAAGCTCGTGAATTGACGACCGACGCTATTTCCAATCAGCGTCTTCAGGACTCATGAGTGGTCGTTAAATTACTTTTATAATTACATGATCTGTATTTATTTTTTAAACATCTCACACTGCCTTGCCGGCGTGGCTCCGTGTTGAGTGTCGACCTATGACCCAGGAGGTCACAGTTCGATTCCTGATCAGGCCCCAGTATGGGGTGTGCAGGAGGCAGCCAATCAATGATTCTCTCTCATCATTGACATTTCTATCTCTCCCTCTCCCTTCCTCTCTGATATCAATAAAAATATATTAAATAAGTAAACCAATAAATATCCCACGCTTCCATGTCCAGCCAGGAAAGAAATCAATGCATCTATCAACACAGGTTTTTATGTTTCAAGTTTTAAAAAATATTTAAAATTTCTCTCAACATGAACTCTCTTACCTCATGGCATACATTTGTAAGGTCACAGTTCGCCAGGCGATGAGGACATCATGTGTAGTCCCAACCAGATGAATTTCTGGAACAGGCACAGCTTCTGGGGGGAATGGAGGGACTTCCTGGGAGGCAGGAATGTTCTAGATTTTTTTTTTTAATCCTCACCCGAGGACTTTTTTTTTAAATTATTGATTTTAAAGAGAGAAGCAAGAGAGAAAAAAAAAATCTATGTGAGAGAGAAACATGGCGATCAGTTGCATTACTTATGTGCCCTGACCAGAGATCGACCCCACAGCCTTTTGGTGGATGGGACGATGCTCTGACCTCCTGTGCTCAGATCTTGGTGGGGTGGGGTGACGGAGGGCCCTGCCTAAGTTATGCATCACACTACCCTTAGGATCCGTGCGGGCCATTGTAAGTAAAGCATATCGCAGTGAAGTTCAGTGGACATAATGTTACATTTTTACCTTCGGGTCTGGCATCTTCTCCAGGACACAGAATTCGCTGTGAGTGCAGAAAGCGAGCCCATGTTGGCCCCAGAATGCCAAGGGGAGGTCACCAGGCCTTTTTTGCTTCACCTTATTGACATTTCTTGCTGTTTGCTGATCAAACACCTTCCCCCAGGAGTCCTTGAACCACCGCAGCCCCCCCCACCAAGCCAGCAGTGGCCTCTAGATGGCGCTGTTCACACAGCCAGGAATTAATTAATTAATTAATTAATTTTCTGCTTCTTTATTTTGTTTTCTTTTTTTAAAAATTGTTTTATTGCTTAAAGTATTACAAAGAGTATTATATATGTCTCCCTTTTTCCCGCCCTTAACAATCCCCCGGCCTCCCCTACCCCCCAGTGTCTTATGTCCATTGGTTATGCTTATATGCATGCATACAAGGCCTTCGGTTGATCTCTTACCCCGCCCCCTCCCGCCCCTCAACCCTCCCCGGCTTTCCCGCTGTAGTTTGACAGTCTGTTCGAGGCAGCTCTGCCTCTGTATCTATTTTTGTTCATAAGTTTATAATGGTCTTTATTATCCATGAATGAGTGAGATCATGTGGTATTTTTCCTTCATTGACTGGCTTATTTCACTTAGCATAATGCTCTCCAGTTCCATCCATGCTGTGGCAAATGGTAAAAGTTCCTTCTTTTTTACAGCAGCATAGTATTCCATTGTGTAGATGTACCACAGTTTTCTAATCCATTCATCTACTGATGGGCACTTAGGCTGTTTCCAGATCTTAGCTATGGTGAATTGTGCTGCTATGAACATAGGGGTGCATATATCCTTTCTGATTGGTGTTTCTGGTTTCTTGGGATATATTCCTAGAAGTGGGATCACAGGGTCAAATGGGAGTTCCATTTTTAACTTTTTGAGGAAACTCCATACTGTCTTCCATGGTGGCTGCACCAGTCTGCATTCCCACCAGCAGTGCACAAGGGTTCCTTTTTCTCCACATCCTCTCCAGCACTTGTCGTTTGTGGATTTGTTGATGATAGCCATTCTGACAGGTGTGAGATGGTACCTCATTGTTGTTTTGATTTGCATCTCTCGGATGATTAGTGACTTTGAGCAAGTTTTCATATGTCTCTTGGCTTTCTGAATGTCCTCTTTTGAAAGGTGTCTATTTAGGTCCTTTGCCCATTTTTTGATTGGATTGTTTATCTTCCTTTTGTTAAGTTGTATGAGTTCCCTATAAATTTTGGAGATTAGACCCTTATCAGATATAACATTGGCAAATATGTTTTCCCATGCAGTGGGCTTTCTTGTTGCTTTGTTGATGGTTTCTTTTGTATTTCTTGCCATTTTATTGTTCATATTTTTAATCTTTTTTCCCCTTCTTAATATGTTTTTTTAAAAGAATTGTTTATTGATTTTTAGAGAGAGAGGAAGGGAAAGAAGTATGAATTTGAGATGCAACATTGATTGGCTGCCTTCTGCACCCCCCCCCCCCACCACCACCACCAGGGATTGAACCTGAAACCCAAGCATGTGCCCTTACCAGGAATCAAGCCATTTATAGTCTCAAACATGCATGACATTGGTGCATGGGACTACACCCAACCAGCTGAGCCACACAGGCCAGGGCTGTCCTTCTTCTTAAAGAGGAGCCTTTAATATTTCATATAATACTGGTTTGTTAGTGATGAACTTATTTAGCTTTTTCTTGTCTAGGAAGATCTTCATATGTCCTTGGATTCTAAATGAGAGCTTTGCTGTGTAGAGTAATCTTAGATGTATGTCCTTGCTTTTCATCACCTTGAATATTTCTTGCCAATCACTTCTGGCTTGCAGAGTTTCTGTTGAAAAATCAGCTGACAGTCATATGAGAGGTCCCTTGTAGGTAACTAACTGCTTTTCTCTGACTGTTTTAAGATTCTCTCTTTGCCTTTAACCTTTTGCATTTTAATTATGATGTGTTTGGGTGTGGGTTTCTTTGGGTTCATCTTGTTTGGGACTCTATGGGCTTCCTGGACTTGTATGTCTCTTTCCTTCATCAGGTTAGGGAACTTTTCTGTCAT